GGTGGTGTCTTTCTTATGCCTTCCCTTCTGCGTGTTACTTTTGTGGAGATACGAGATTTGTGTTTCAGTAATTAGTTGTGAGATGCTGCATTTCCTTAGTAGCGAACAAAGGGAGCTTTTGTTTATCTAAGTTACTAATTTTTGTTATTTTTTTTAAAAAGCACTTGAAAAACCTTGAGTTATGTCAAAGTGCATCGAATAGGAAGACCTGAGTCGTTCCTGTTCGTTTTTTAAGGAACAAATAAGTCAAAGTGAACAGTTGCGTCAGGCGTACATATATACAGGCGTACATACAGTCTTCTGCAAATGAATTGTTGCTTCCACGGATCTGACCTGCAGTGTCCTTAATAGTACTCTGATTGCTTCAATCATGACCTTGGCATTCTAGGTTATTTTTCATCACAAGTCAGTCTCACTTCATCACAAGCCATTTAACCTAAAGCATCCTTTCTAGAAATTTGTCTATTTACGATGAAAGAGGCGTTAGGGAAATTAATTATTTGTCCCAGAACCCTATTCTCATCTGTTGTTAATGTATTTAGTGGTCATTTTCCTAGCAGTGTGCACCGCAACTTCCTCAACTGCTTTATGCATGACCGAGTTGTTAAATCACTTCTATCTAACACCAATGAATTTTTCATTAAGTTCAACAATTCTTTGGTGGCCCACTCTGTTACGACACAAATATCATGAACAAATTCTGAAACTGCAGCTTTAGAATCTGTTGGATTTAGTATGAGTATCATGGCGTGGGATTTAATGTTGGAGATAATTGGACAGTGATGCAGAACTTGAGAGTGGTGTACCCCTAAGCTTACATTTCCCCGTGTTTGTGACGCATTAGCTTAGCCAACCGTCTCTGCCATAATCTTAACATTTTTACTTAGCTTTACCGACACACGTTTTTTTTTAACACCATATAGAGGTTGTCGTTTTGTTACCAACCAAAGGATGAAGCAATTCATTGTTATGAGTTCTTTAGACCACCAAAACATTTTTGTTCCATTCCCACAAAGAATTGATTTTTGACTAAATTTGACTCCGCAAAGTAGGGTAATCGTCTAGATTAAACAGTCTTCACGGATCAAGCCGTTTTTAAAATTTGCAGAACAATGGAAAATCAAAGTAATCCACTTACTTATTTCTCAAATTACAAGTCCCATTTGTGGCGATAGAGAGAGATGGAGTAAATCTCGCTCAAGCGACAAGCAATCACTTGTCAACGTTGTTTCCTCCATTTGTTCACTTGTCATGGCGCAAAATCATGTTCACCATCACGCAATCTCCACTCCTTTCCTCTCCTCTTCCCTCCACATCACTTCACTTCACCGTGACACTGACGTGATAACTCAGTGTCAAAAGAATTAATGCATTTCTACCCCACTAAAATTCTATATACATCTATTCCCTCAAAGTGAAAGAGTGCAAGAGAGCGAAAGTAGAAGAGTATAAAAAAGGGGACGGGAAAAACAACAACACTTGACAATTTTTGAGCTTTGTTAAGCTAAAAACTGAATCGTGTGAGTGACGCGTGCTAAAAAGGGGGGTTGATACATTGGAAAAAGGGTCTGTTTTTTCGGGTTTGATTAAGCATACACTGACGTTTAAACCCCTCTGTGTACAAAATGTATATTATCCCTTTTTCGAATGGATTTGAACGCCAAAATGCCATGCCGCTATTGTTAATAATTCATTTGAAATAAGAATGTCAGTGTAGACCTTTAAATTCTACTTAGATTAATGACTCCTCACAATGGGGGAGCAAGAAAAAAGAAAATTTATTAATTGTTAATTTAGGATGATCAAAACCTTGCGCTTCTTTAAGGTCTTCTTTACATCTAGATGAAAAGAAAAGAAAAGGCAACAGGAATTACTTTCAAGTGGACAAAATAATTTGTGCGCAATTTGTAATAAAATGTTTTGCAAGTCTTTTGCAATTTTGTATCAATCAGACATGCAGCTTGCAGTGAACTCTACCCATGAAATGAGAAGTGATATGCTCATTTGCT